AGCAAATGAACAACACATCATGGATACTTGCAAGAACCCAGTCTTGTATCTCTGCTCATGAGGGGATAATCCAGTGTATCCTCGAAGTGAAGGAACTGGTGTGATACCAGATGAGGGTGCTATGCCCTTAGATGGCCATCTGCAGAGCACAAGTCTGTAAAGCACCCAGATCCCAGAACATCACAGCTAATGCTATGAGCCAGGGCTAAATCCAAGGACTGGTTGCATGTGCTGGGAAGGGCCCTTCAATTGCCCAGAAAAAAAATCACATTCCTCTTGTTGGTGATAGGGACTGAATTTAACAAATTTGGCCAAGATCAAGTGTATCCATTTCCCATGGCCTCAATTGCAAAACCAAGCATGAGACATCCTCATCATTCATGTCTCATCCCAGTTATTGCAGACATAGACCCACAGTAGTGCTGTTCATAAATGTCATGTTTCTTCTCACTCAGGCTTGAGTGGAAGATGAAAGCTGACAAAACAGATGAGTTGTCTTTTTGGGATTGTTCTTGGCCACACTTTTAACTAGGGGTCTCTTGAGAAAATGACCCATATGGTCGCTTTGCTTTTAATAACTGTTGGTTCCTGCTAATAGTTTTCAGATGCATCCATCACCCTGTTCTTCCCTTCACAGTTGTCTGATTTAATATCTAACCTTTGTATCTATTGTTCAAATCCAGGCCATGCTTGTAATAAAGAAAATTTGAAATATCAATTTGGTCTGGAAAGGGCTGTGCAAAGCAGATTGAGTTTCATGTTTTCTATGTAGGGAGAAAAGGGTCTTTACATTTCCATTTAAAACCCATTTCTTCCTCCCTGCCTTGACTTGCTTCCTGTAGTTGTTGCTCTATAGCCTAAGGTGAGCTGAGAAAGGGTTGTTGAGAGATTTGAGTCTCTAGCAGTTAGGTTTTCCTGTTACTTAGTTTTATAGTCAACAGATGGTGCTCAAAAATAGAAAATCCCATACGAGCTGCTATTAGTACTAGCAAGTGACCAAATATTTGCTTTTATTGGGTTAGTTTAAAATGGGAAAAAGAGGAACAGAAGAGGGTGAAAGGCCTGTCACAACTTCTGATGGTGACAGGCAATTTTGAGGTGCCTGCATTTACAAGAACCCAGCTTGAGACCCCTTCTGGAATAAAAAAACCAACACAAAGCCAGGAAGCACCAGCCTGACTATCTAAGAGTGTGCCCCAGAAGGCTCAGAAAACCAGATTATCTGGAGGTGAGCCCAGCAGGGCATCTGAGTGGAGGGGCACCTCCAAAAGAATTGCTCCGTGTGTTTATAAACCACCTAATTGCTTGTTTTGGAGAATACTGTGGTGTCTGATGCCAATTTAAAGTTAAGTGCACTGTCAAATGTGGCTTATTTGGCTGATGTAAACCCTTCTTAGGCAGCTTTACCCTTAGCCACTCCAGCTGTAACAGTTAGAAGGGGCTTGGCTGTCTCTTTATAAAAGCTATCAGAGCCTTTCTGTGACTTTGCCTGTTGTGGGGCTTCCCAGGTCATCGTGGCACTGCAGCCTGGCATTCCCAGTCACCACTCATTAGCAGCAAGCTCTGACATGGCGTCTAGTTCCCCAGAGGAGTAGAGGGGACCCTACTGGGTGCCCTTGTTCCAAGTGCTCAGCCTCCACACCTGGTAAATCAGTGCAAAGAAACCCAGGACAGGATCATTCACTGAATCAGAAGCTTAGTTTTAATACTCCCTGGCCTCAAATTTGGAGCTGGAAATGGTGCTGTGGCTTTTCCCATACTGAGACTTTGGTGGTTGAATGGAAGAAGGATGCAGGATTATTTAATGTTAAGTAAGAGAGTGGGCTGAAATTCAGAAAATTTTTATTACCTGAATCTGCCATGTCTCCCAGGCAAATCACTCATAAAAATTGTGATGACCTCACTGCCTTAGGCCACTAAAGGTGAAAAAGGACAACCCAAGGTGGCTGGTTGGGACCTTAGGAGGTGGTTCAGTCCCTCTCCAAAGCAGGGTGAAAGGTACCATGGTACCTGAAAAACCCACCACTGCAGGTGTCCTGTCTGCCTGGGCAGCCGTTCGTTGATACGGGGTTGCACGTGAGAGGGGAAGGTGAGGGACAGAGGTGACATGTGTTACCCTTAGGGGCAGTGTGGGTTTCTGTTTTGCCTGCCAGCACTGCTGCGTGGTTGGGTGGACTCCCCTGCTACAGGGGGAGCAGTTTCCATCCACCGTTGCAGCCCCTCTGAGGCACCCTGTGCCTTGCCTGGTAAGGGCATGATGAAAAGCAGAGGAGATACTTATAGAAAGATGTATGCTAGTGATAGGCATGCAGGGCAGGGGCTGGGTAGTCCTGTCACCTCCATCACACTGCTCATATCTTCACTTGTTTGCAAATAGCAGTAGTAATGCTTATGTGCTGCCTTTAGTGTTAAAAGAACAGTTTTATCTTAATACCCCAGGGCTTTCCACCCCTTCAAAATGGAAAATATTTTGTCTGATATTATCTTTAAAAAGAAAGAGGGTTTAGGGAGACTTTTTTTTTTGCCTCAGTCTGAGTCTGGCAAAACCTGGAGCATTCTTTGTGCTACTAGTATATAAATCCTGCTGTTATAGAGAGCTGTCTGGGTAAAGGACTGAATGGCAGAAATGCCTCAGACAGCAGCCTACTATTTTTTAAATCTGATAATATACTACAGAGTCTATTTATGTAAAGTTGGATTAGCTAGGATCACTGGAATTGAAAATTCTATTATCTCCTAATGAACTGGACAGAGAAAGCTATAAAATATTAAGTTATTTAGTAGGAAATTTAGCTTGCATTTCCCTTCATCTCTGGAGATGAGTGAAATGTGAGGTCTAATCTAATTTTCAGACAGTATTCTCAAAACTAGTGGGCTTTTTTGTGTAGCATTTAATATGATCACTCCAAGTATTTCAAAATGTCTTTTTATTCTCTTGCTCTGATTTTTCTTTGCTAGTGGGTTCATTTTCAGTCTTATGAGAAGCTACATTCTGCTTCAGAAAATACTGCTGATTGTAAACAAACTTTAAGAAATTAAACTAAATGGGTCATAATTTTTGAACTTATTAAGATACCTGAAACAGAATTCATAGAATAGTTTTGGTTGGAAGGCACCATTAAAGGTCACCTAGTCCAACCCTCCTGCAGTGAGCAGGGACATCTTCAACTAGATCAGGTTGCTCAGAGCCCCATCCGACCTGACCTCAAATATGTCCAGGGATGGGGCACCTACCATGACTGTGCAACCTGTGCCAGTGTTTCACCAACCCCATTGTAAAGAATTTCATATATGTAGTTTAAAACTACCCTCTTCTAGTTGAAAACCATTACCCCTTGTCCTATCACTACAGATCCTGCAAAAAAATGTTGTCCCCATTTTTCTTACAAGCCCCCTTCAGGTACTGGGAGGCTGCCATAAGGTCTCCTTGGAGTCTCTTCTTCTCCAGGCTGAACAACCCCAGTTCTATCCCTGTCCTCATAGAAGAGTAGATCCAGTCCTCTTATCATTTTTGTTACTCTCCTCTGGACCTGCTCTAACAGGTCCATGTCTTTCCTCTTCTGAGGACTCCAGAACTGGACGCTGCAATCCAGGTAGAGTTTGATGAGAGCAGAGGGGGCGAGTTGCCTCCCTTGACCTGGTAGCTATGCTGCTTTTGATGCAGTCCAGGATGCTGTTTGCTTTCTGGGCTGCTAGCACACACTGCCAGCTCATGTCCAGCTTTTCATCTACCAGTATCTCCAAGTCCTTTTATGCAGGGCTGCTCTCGACCCCTTCATCCCTCAGCCTGTGTTGATACCAAGGTTTGTCCCAACCCATGTGCAAGACCTTGCCCTTGGCCTTGTTTGAACGTCATGAGTTTCACACAGGCCCAGTTTTCAAGCTTGTCCACCTCCTTCTGGATGGTAACTTATCCCTTCTATCAGGAGTCTTTGTACTCTTTAATAAGCATGACTCCTTATGTAGAATTTGACAAATTGGTCCTGGGACCAATCAGCTTCTCAGGTAGGAGGAAAATAACTATTTATAGTGTTACCTAGAGAAACAGTTCTGTCTCATCATCTCTTTAAATCTTTAATCTCCCTATCATCTTTCCTAAGTGAAGAATTTCCCAACATGGAGTTTTCTTCAAAGGATCAAGGCAACAATCTGACCTTGGTCAGCATGAAATCTAAAAGACAATATGAGATCTAATGGAAATGCAGTCAAAGGGGGACTTCCAAAAGACTCTTCCACTTCGTTGCTTTCAGTTTGCAGCAGACTGCAAATTCTGGGCAAATATGTAAAAGTGAGTAGAAATAACCTGAAATGTTTCCATCTGTCGCTTTCCAGCTCATGGTCTCTATCCATGATTGTTGTACAATACAAGTGAAAAGAGAATAAAGTGCCAAATCCCTCCCTCCCTTTTGTAAAAAGAACACAACTGTTTAGTTTTGTTTCTGCTTTTAAAGACAAGCCATGCTGATCTCAAAACACATGACCAAAGGATCATCAGATGGTTGCAAAAATTTGAAAAGGAATTTGAAGGCAAGTGGCAAAGTAAGATTTGGCTTTAGTGCAGCACTTTGGGAAAATGCTGCATTTCAAGTTTCAGTAACCCTTTCCTTTCCACATGCACCTACTTTGGTGGTGTTTGGTTTGGGTTTTTTTTGGGGGGTGGTGTTGTTTTCTTTCTTTTAAATTTAGCTTTACCAAAGAGGTCAGACTGATACCGATGTGGTATAAAGTTTGGAGGGCCACACTCTAAAATACTTCTGAAACCACCAGGCTTCACTGTTAAGCCATGCCCCATGCCTTACACTCCTCCAGCTACTAAAACAATCAAAAGCTCAGGCAGGTCAGCAAATCTGTCGGCTGAGGTTACTCATTCATTTCACTGCAGTCCCCAAACCAGAGCCAACCACACACAAGGCTTCACTGCAGGTCTGGGGCAGGTCTCTGCAGATTTTCCCCTTGGGGAGCACTTGGGGCCCACAATCAGCACACTTTCATCCCTTTACCTTGATGCTCTTGAGATCGATTGCGGGTTCTTTGGGTTTTGCTGGTGCTGGCGCAGGTGCTGGAGCTGGCGCTGGTGCGGGCGCTGCTGCTGGTTTCTTTACATCCTTCTTTGGTGCCATTTTGTGTTGCTTAAACTTGAAAGTAAAGCTGTCCTCCCCCAAAAAAACCTTTTAAAACCCCCCAAAGCCTTAAAAGTTATTCCCAGGAGAGGATCAGTGGTCAGAATGAGCTACAGCCTGTGCCCTGGAGGTGGACCCGCTGTGCTAAACTCTATAAGGGCATATATATATATTTCACTTAGTGCCTTGTACAGTCCTGACACATGCAGCTGGATTGGACAGCTTGCTAATCAAGGGGGATGTCATTCCAGCTCGAGCTATAAATGGAATGTGAGAGTTCAGGGCTTCATAAGATCAGGAGACTTCAGTGGCTTTCCTCCCCCCTTCTTCAGAAACCCCAACTATCTGCCCTGTAGTTTTTATATTATGCTTGTAAAGGAGAGGGGAATATCACAAATCCATCTTCAGATCAGCCATTGCCATTTGAGCATGGATTGAACAGTCCTTTTTCTCATCAGAATTTGTTCTGCTCGAGTAATATTTTTTTTTTTTTCTTTCCTTCCCTCCCCTTTCCCCCCATGCCTGTGTAGTGCTCCAGAAGGATTTGGTTTCAAGTAGGAATTTTGACTTTCATGGCTGGGAAGATCATAAATTTGCAACCTCGTTTGCCTCTCTCCACACAGCCTCCTCCTCTGCCTCCTTCTTTTACAACAAAGTGTTGATCAAGCAAAGGCTTTGGGTGTTTAAAAATAAAGCAGACAGATACGGAATACACTGCAGTACCTTCAGCCAAGGCATCTCTACCAGATCCTGAGTGTCTTTCAGCTGTTCTTAGTGTTCCTTTCTGTCATGTGAAGGCTGTTTTTAAGATTCACAATTGCTTCCTTTAACATTTTTCTTTGATCTTCTTTTTCCTTTGCTGGGGATAAACTGTGTCCAGATAGAGTGGAGATTAGGTAGATGTTTTGTTCCCACACAAAAGGTTTCCTTTTATAATGTATTTATGATTGGAAATTCATCATCAGACAAAGGAAGCTCTTTTGTTCTTACCTTGTTTGCCTTTCCATCATGTGTCTCTTGTTTCTCTTTCCACTCCTCAATCTCCTGCTGGACCTCCCTGCTCCCCATGTTCTTCAGGAGACACAGCTTTCAGGAGCAATCAGCTTATTTGTTGCCAGTAGACTTTTTCTAGCACAGCCAAACAGCTTCTCTTTCAAACCCAGTGGTTCCACTGGGTCCATATGATGGAGATTTTTTGCAGAAAATCCAGTACCCATGGTTGTGCCTCTCTTTTCCAGCAATCTCTGTCCCATTTACTTTCCAGGCTCCCCAAGTTCTGTACCAGTAACTGCAAGGCTTTTGATGGGGACTCTTATCTGTCTCATGAGGTGTACTGTGAAGTGTTTTGTAACTAGCAATTTAGAGTCTGAAGGCCTGGACAGACAATTTGCACCCAAAATCTGTCAGGATATCTTGCATTTCAGATGAGCATGTTTTAAGGAAGGTAAACTGAGATTGAGTTGCTAAAGGTGTGTTTTATGTAAGAAAACCTGTGCTCAGAGTTCTTTTGCCACAGCCTGTGACCTTGAGCTAGGAAAAGTTTTGGAAGAGAAGTAATGCATACAGTTTGAAGCCTTGGTTCAGTCTCTGCTTTAGAAAACGTAGACCAGGAGAGATTTTATTTCCTTTCTTCTGCCTTGAGTTTTGTGAATGCTTTGGGGCAAGAGTCTGTGATTTATGAGCTCTGCTGGCTGTCTTCAAGGTGCTTGATGGAGGGATCCCTTTTCTGCTGGTCTGCCTGGGAAGATGATGGTGTGGCCTCTTCAGGACTGCAGGTTAGCAGAAGCCTGTGGGCTGTCATCCCCAAGGGGCTTGATGAGGACATAACCAGTGATGCTGGCATTTTACATCGCACAAACCAAACTTTGGCAAAATACACCAGGGGAAATTCATCCTGGAAGTGTACCTTGGGTTAAAATAGCTTAAAATAATTTTTATGCATTTCTACATTTATGAGAACTTTTCAGTAATTGCAAGAAAGAACCAATGATGAGCTAATCCTTTCTACAATCTCCTGATGTTTGCAACAAAATAAGCCTATAAGCCACCATCATCAACATCCTAAAAGGAAGACAGGCTTTCAAAAATGAAGCATGACCTTAGAGCTGTGGCATAAGCCTGCAAGTATGCCTGGATGTGTTTCATGCTGCTGGAAGAGGAGGTATTGTGAGGAGCTGCTATAAAAAATTGTATATTGATCAGGTGAGAAGAAAAGCAGGTGCAAAGGAGGAGGAGTATGGCAGGTCTTTATTTCCATTGTTGGCTTAAAGTTTTGAATCCCACCAGTTTTCTGGGGTTGGGACAGGACACCCTGGCTTTATCTGTCTGGCAAGCTTGGATTTGTCCCAAGACACCCCTGGGAAGGTATTGGGTCTGTTCCTAAGTTGTTCCAGATGACGTAGAGGAGATGTGTCCTTGTGCTGTTACATGAGAGCTGCTGTTTGCAGGTTTCTGGTGGTGTTGTACCATCTTGCCCCGGGCTGCGGAGTTGGTTCCAGGGGCTGCAGCAGCAAGCTTCTTCCACATCTAGCAGCAGCTAAAAGTGAGCAGGAATACTGGAACAAGCTTCCAGCCTCTCCCTCATGCTTGCTGGGACTTGCAGGGATCCACTTCTAAGGGAAAGCAGCAGCAGCTGGGGAATGTGAATGATCCCTGGCATTTGTTTCTCTGGGTGCACAGCTCCTGGGATGTGCACGGGTGCCTCTCCCCTGCAGGAGAATCCATGTCAAAGGGAGGCATAATGAGCTGTGACAAAGCTTCAGATTTCAGAGCTCCAGAAAATCCAGTAGTGGGAAAGCTGTTGGTTGGAAACCATGCCCTGTTAGTCCTGCCCACTGAAACAGGGCAGCTGCTTGGGGCTTGCCTGGTTTTTACACACAGTTGAACTGATGAGGATGTGGTTCTGGCCAACAGGAAACGTTTTATGTGTTCAGGCTGCATTTAGTGGAATTTCTGTAAGGGAAGGGTGTTTTCTATCCAGACCACCGATCTGATTCATTCTGGAGCTTCTGAAGAGGAGCATGTTCTTTTCTTCAGGCTGAAGTGACAGAGTGGTGGCATGATTGCAGCACTAGAATGGAAGTGGGAATTTCTACGCTGGACTAGGCGCCCTGTGCAGTTACTCTGAAGTCTCTGCCTTTCTGGTCTAGTTTTAACAGGATGGCTCTGCCTTGGGTTTCCTGTAGCCCAGGGAGGCAATGGTTTAAATCCATGCAGCGAAGCAGGCAACTAGATCATTCATGGACCTGTTAGATGAAAGGATAGCCACAGCTGCTTCTGCTGTTTCACAATGAATTTCCTGTGAGACTTGAGCCTTTTTGTGTCTAAAATGACTGAAAATGCAATTAACTTCCCATTTTGTCAGTAACTTAAACCCAGGGTAATAGTTTTTTCATTATCCATCTGGGAACTTCTTTTCCATTTGCACTTTCGATAATGTCCACCAAGCCACATATGCTGTAATGACTGCCCAAGAGACATTTCTACAAGTTTCTCTGTATCTGCAGTGTTGTGCAGGGCTCAGAAGGTGTAAAGCATGCTTCTTTGAGGGTACATTTGCTCAGAGCTTAGACCAGTGCTTTACTGAGTACTTTACTCTGCTCGAGATAGCCAGGGCTGCTTTAGGAGGCCACAGAGGAAGAGATCTTTTTTGAGCAAGATAATGATAATTTATATGCTGCTACTCTACAATCAGAAGGGTCATTACAAGCTTAGTGCATCTCAGTTTGTGTGCTTGCTTCAGATGTGGATTCTGTGCTTTGTTTTGTGAAATTGTTGGCTAGTTCCTTGCAGGACACCAGGTCAGGTACTAGGGGAAGTGATGTCGGTCGCTCTGAAGGCTCTGCTGGGACTTTGGTTTCAGGCAAGGTGTGTAACACTGCGAATATGGACAGTGTTTGCAAATACTTCAGGACAGTCAAACTGTTAAGAGTCTCTTTTTGGAGCTTTTCTTCTGTCCTATGCACACTTATTTTGTAATTTTAGCTGTCATGTTCTCTTTCCTGTGATCAGCTCTTACCTGACACCTGTTGCTATTGAATATTTGCTGTGTTCCTCTTCTGAAGGTTGAGTGGCTGGGGTGTCAGCCGGAAAAATTGCAAATGTATGTGTACCATTTGGCAAGCAATGAGCTTTGAGAAAGACTGCAGTGGTTTGGAGCTATGCCCTGGTATAACCCCCATCTTTGTTCAGCCCATACATAGGAAGGGATCCTGTTATCCAAAACTACAAGAAGTACAAGGAAGTTAATGGAGAAGCCTTTTGAACACAAACAAGAAAGGTTCAGCAAAATTCAAAAGTAATATGTGGGAATTATTTTTTTCCCCAGCACCAGTTAGATGGTGAGACTTGTTGCTGGGGGACTCTTTGAGGCCAGGAACCTAATAAGATGCAGGAAGGAAATGGGCTTTTAGGCAGTTATTGAGAATATCAGAGTTACTATAATTCATAACAAATTAGGAGGGAATATATAGTACTATGTCACTGTGCTTCAGCAGTTCTTGAACTGACAGAGACTGGGTGTGTTTTTCTACACGAAGACTCTACGGAGATACTGTGCTCTTAAACTCATGGTTTGGGCCATAAAAGAGAGACTACGCCCTTGTCAGGACTGCTCATGTGGTTTGATTCTCACATGTTTCACCACAGGCTTAAAGTAACAAGCCAGGGATCTGTTGCCAGCAACTCAAGATCTCAGCATCAAGCTGTAATGCTGACTGTGTGCGACACAGTGCTTAGTTATTCTGCTAATGACTTGAGTTTGTCAGTGTCCACAACATACAAAGCACTTTTAATACAGAAAAAAAACCCCAAACAACAAGCCATTTGATATCCAAGATTCTCACAGTTGCAGGAACCACCAGCCTGTGAACTGACTCTAAACCTCATCCCCTGTCCCCCTGTGCTGCTGGGGGCAAGGAGGGAGAGAAATGGGGAGCCAAATAATTTGGACCTGGGAAAAAAGGGTGGGTGTAACGTATGTGGGCACTGCTCTTTGTGTTGCCTGTGTCCTTGGTGCATTTCATTAGTGTTAAATTATTATTTTTTTCCCCAAGTGAAGTTTGTCCTAGAACCTTAATCAGTGAAGATCCCTCCTTGCTCTTTGTCTCGACCTGTGAGCTTCTAGTTGTGCTTTATTCTCCCC